GCTTTTACTTATACTGTAAAAGTGTTAGACAGTTTTTAACATTTGGTTTTGTCAGGGTCTGTACATGTAAATATGGCTAATGGGTCAGTGATATGACACTATTTTTTGTCTGGGTCAATTCATATTTTCAGAAATAGAAATAGAAATAAAAATGTCATTAATAAATCCTCTTCTATGATGGGTTAGGTTTTTACATTTCTGAATAAAAAAAAAATTATATAAAGCAAAAAAAGGGGTTATAAAGTAATTTAAGTAATTTATGTATAAATATAATTGTTGTTGCCTAATTGTTTATTAGTATTTCTCAGAAAGAATATTTTATCCAAACTGCTTCACTAATTGAAATATTTGAATTATTGAAACATTTCAATATTTGAATAATATTTTTTTTCACATTACCAAATCAAGGTCATGTGGTGTGTCCATCATTTAAAAACATGCAGCAATAAATTATAAGTAATTTGACATTTTTATAAAATGGCAAGTTTTGGTTGTAAAATGTCTTGTGGTGCAATAAAGCATAATTTATGAATTAATAATTCTCATTAAAAATACATACATTTTAATAAATAATTCACGATTCTTTTTTTTTTTTTTTTTTTTTTAAATATTAATTATTATAAACACAAAAGATTTAAGGTGGTAAGCAATTCTCATTAAAAATACATACATTTTAATAAATAATTCACGTTTTTTTTTTTTTTTTTTTTTTTTTTAAATAATAATCATGATACACCCACATGTATTAACGGCGTAAGTAAAATTATTTTATTCTTTTATAGTTACACCACATGAAATTTTCAAGCATTAATCTGAAACTTTTCTGGTATTAAAATGGTATTAAAGTTTTTTAAAACCACATGAAAGCAACATGAATACATGTATGTTCTGAACATCTAAACAAATCTAAACAAGATTTTTCCTTTTTCTCATTGGTCCTTCTTTCTGTCTAGCTAGCTTGTCAAATGTTCTTGTACATAGTCTTTGCCATTTGAACAGTATACAAAATCAACCAAGCCTCCAAACAGAGCAACTATCATTGCGGCATGACATTTCACTCAATGTGGAAAAAGCTGTTTACAGATGCATGGCTTCATTTGAAAATCTTGTACCAAAAATGTATGTAAATATGCCTTAAAGTCACCTGTTTCATAGTTGGACATCCAACTATGTTTCATCCTCAACATGAAAATTGGAAGCACATACCTGAGGGCCAGGAGGTCCTGCTGGTCCCGGAGGTCCTGGGGAGCATGTTTGAGGTGTGGGATTGTATGGGACATTTGGTGGAACATCAGTCTCAGTCTATAAAAGAAGTCATAGAAAATTACATCTGGAAACGATGGAAATGGGAAAATGTTAAATAGAAAAAATAGTCCATAAAGTGTTACAGTTTTCGCAGTTTCAGTGGTTCAATTTACATCTATTATATTTCTTTATCACCATAAACGATTGTGGTCATTTAGACAGACATAATGTATTTATTGACACCCTGAACCCTGTTGTACCTGGAACCTACACAAGAAATCCAGGTGCTTGATCAGGGGTCATGCGTCAGGACTCACCAGAGGGCTCTGCCGCCACAGGGAAGGGGGTGGAGGGAAGAGAGGGGGCGGAGGTGGACTCAGTAAACAGCAGGGGTTGAATTTCTTCCTGGTTTCCAGCAACTGGAGATCTAGATGAGGGGAAATAAGGTTCATGAGGAACATGTCAGCAGACACGTGGTCCAGCGGAACAGTGTTTCTCTCCAGTTTTGGAAAAGAGGGACTGAAACACGTGTGTTTTATACTATGATACTTATCAGGTAGATGAAATGAAGAGTGTAATGAAAGGTCCTTCATTACTAAAACTAAAGATTAATCTGCAAATATGTAATGCTAGAGTTTTTCTTTTCTAAATCATTCTTAAAATAGAAATAATTTCTTTTCTAAATAATTTCACTTTTCTGAGGCATTTATAATGACTTCATCAATGGGATTTTTCTGATTCTTTTAGTGAATTTTCATAGTTGCATTTACTATAATGAATATGATCTGACAACCACTGTCATTTTGAACAGTATATGTATTGTTTTATTATTTGAAACTTGTTTTGAACAGTTTTGCTGTAAAAATGTTTTTTAAAATCTTATAAATAAATATTTAGTGTTTTTTTTTCACTTTTTACAAATACATACAACATACACAATGAACACACTTTAAAAAAAATACCCTATAAATAAAACATTGTTGTGCAGAAGCAATAGTGACCATAAATAAAGTACACATACCCCTATTGTTGTGCAGAGGAAATATATATTTGATTTATTTAAATAAATACATTCATACATATATACATACATACTTTAAAACAGAAAGTCCAGAAAGATGTTAACTTTGCAAAAACAAGCACTTGCCTAATTAAACTTTTCACTGCAGTGTTGGCTGACAAAACTGAAACAGCCATTTTGCCATCAGAGATAATAACCAGAAATAATTAATTGATGCCTTTGGTGAAATTTATTGCAAAATTATGACAAAAATATTTACTTTATTCTTATTACAGGCCTGCAGACTCCAAATTGTTGAGTATAGTATTGAAATACAAAATTTTCCCCATAATATTTAAGCCAATCTATACTGGCACACAATATACTGTATATCACAAAAAGAGCAGTGCAGCCTAATTCATGTTATCAATATTCTGCAACTGCATTTATTTAATTTGCATGACTCGTGAAATTACAGAGTCAGTCAAATATGTTTTTGCTGGTGTTTTCGTTGCATGTCATGTGCAAACATACTTCTCTCTGTAAGAGAAAAACCTTAATATCAGCATACCAAACGTGCAAAAAAAGAGTGATGTCTTACCTGTTGGAAGAGGGAATATATTATCCATGTAAGAGAATGATGCCACATAGCAGAGGAGTTGAAAATATAGTCCAAGTGTGAACAGAATCATGTTGCCGGCTGCGGTCTACCTCCAATAGCACCGAGGAGTGATCTGAGGCAGTCCCACACTACTGCTCTCTCTCCCCGCCTCGCTCACACACACACACACACACACACACACACACACACACACACACACACACACACACACACACACACACACACACACACACACACACACAAGATCCACGCCTTTAGGAGAAGTGAATGCCAGCCAATGTCTTTTACACCTCTCTCATATATTGGCCCTGAGCTAAATATACAGGAGGCAGCCGGTCAGCTGCCCGCTGTAGCCAAAATTAGCCTGTCACTACTGCCAGCGCTCAAATGGATAGAGAAAACAAAACAGTATGGATAGAAATGACATTGAAATGACAGGGTGTCATGCCAGAGGTAATGGTGAACTACCGCCATTCACTTATCGATAACACCACCCTGCATCATTTTTGCTGAAGGAAATCCAAATCTGGTTTCTTATTCATTTTGGGGTGCTGATTCCGAAGTGCCAAAGTCCAAAGTGTCTGTTTTGCTTTAGCATGTCACACTTTCTCACAAATATACGATTCACATTTAATAGCATTTTTTTGTTTTGTTTTTGACAACCATAAGAAAGGTGAAGAAGTCTTCTATTATCCTCTAATACCCAAAACATGATTCATATTTTCCTCTGAGCCAGGATAGAACTATCTGTTCAATTTTCTGTCATATAAGAATGATTTTGAAGATACTGATTATATGACTAATCCAAAATTAAAATGATCACCAGTGACAGAAGAACATGCAGACATAGCCCAGCTTCTGCTATATCTGTGGGTGTTTTACAGTTATAGTTTGCATTATTATATTGAGTTATTATATTTTTGTATTATATCATCAGTTTTTTCAAATATTTTAATTTGACATTTTTAGCAATTTTGTTGCGTTTCTGTCTTTGTTTTGTATGTCTATATAGTTTTATTCATTTTTGTTTCAGTTTTAGTACAGCTGTTTTAGTACATCAAGTTAAACTAAATGAAAACGAGAAATATTGCTTTGGCAACTAGCTGAAATGAAATATTTCTTATATTTCAAGTAATTGTTTTATGGTTTTATTTTAGATAACTATAATAACCCTGTTAACAACATCCACACAGCAAGAGATAATTGCAGATTTTAGAAGTTATTTATAAACTCTAAGTTCTGTGACATTAAGTATTTTAACATTCCTTCGCTGATTGTAAGCAGGGTTATTATAATATTGAAGTAAAGTACTTGATGTACTAAAATAACTAAAACTAAAATATAATAAAAAAGGAAAATATAAAAAAAATGATTTAAAATATTAAATGAAAACTATAATAGTATCTCAATGATACATTAAATACATCTTTTTGTCATTAAAACTGCTTTTATTTTGATAAGTGCTTTAAAGCTTATACGTATAGCCTATGCATATTTTGAAAAATCTTAATTTTTATTTCGTAAAGAAGACAACAAAAGCTTGTGATTGTAAGCTTTTTGCAAATCAGCACAAAGTTATTAGTAATCTCAGTTTATATAGAATGACAGAGAGTCAATTTTGATGTGGGCACAACTACACACTGGTGTTTATTTATCAAAATTGGGTTTGACCATCTACAATGTCCAAACTGGAGGACTTGAATCTGAGACGGGCTGCCACTGGCATGTGATGTACACACATGCATAAAATGACAGAATTAGCCTGCATGCTCTGTAGTGGAATATCACAGATGTTTTCCAGCCCCTCTCGTCTATCTCACCCTCCCTCTCTCTCTCTCGGTGTCCTTTTTTTTCAGGACTTATCGACCACCGCTACTCACAATTTATTGGCGCTTTTACTTTCCCTCAGAATTAATGACGGAGCAATTATGAAGAGGGCCGCTTAAAAGCCTGGTGGGAGATGCGGTCTGTAAACGCCTCCAATCAGACAGAGTGCAGAGCGAAAAAGAAAAAGAAGAGAAAAACAGGCTCTTATGAATCGTATTTTAATTTTCCATCACTTCCCCTGGAAACAAAATCTTTCAAAGAACATCAAATTACATTAATTGTGAAGTTGTTATTACATTTTTTTTTAATCACTATAATATACAATGTGCAAGTATGGCCATTTTTGTTTGTGCACAATAATTAAACAATTATAAGGCTTTAAAAGCGTCGCTGCTCTTGTACAATCCTGTCATTCTGCCCTTTTCAAACATTTTCAGATTTGGCTGTGAAAATGGTTCTTTTAATAAGTCTTTTATATGCTGTAAAGTTGTTGGGAACATTTCTACACCTGGAAATGTGAAGACGCTGTGATCTGTCAAAGCCAGGGAGAAGATGCTCTCTTGCTCTGTGATAAAGCAGCACAGTAATGATACTTTATGAAAGAGTAGAAGATGAGGCCAGAAGACCTCAATTACCCAGAGACAGAGATGAGCTTAAACAGAAGCCCTCTGAAGCAGAGCACACAACACTGACCTGAGATCAGGTTAAGGTAAAATGAATGAGCAGAAGGAATGGGCAAATTGAAATAATCAAATATACAGTACATAGTCTAAACTGTCAGTGCCAAATGTCCTTTAATTTGTTATTAGATATTGTTAGCATTTTCTCTAGAAAAGGAATAGTTTCGCCTCGTTCCAAACCTGTATGACTTTTGAGGGAAAAAAATATACAAGAAAAACAAACAAACCAACAACAACAACAAAAAACATTCTATTTTGAAGAATCTTACAGCTGAGAAACTATAAAAATGAAAAGAATGCATGGGAGATGTGAATATTATCAGTGAATAATAACTTCAGAAGCTCTTAGTAGAAATATGGTGCACAAATCATATGAATCAATTTCATGGTGCTTCTTTACTGCTTTTTTGGGGGAGTTTGAGAGACATGGTCACATCGAAGTGTCACATCCTATTGACTTCAGGACGAAGGACCTGGAAGTGCAAATGTAAAAACTTGTTCCCAAGTATTCCTGCAGCACCTTATGAACTGTTGTTGTCTGTAAAGTTGTGCGTGAAAATTCTTACAAAACAATTCTACTTTAGTGTTCCACAGAAAAAAAGTCATAAATGTTTGAAACGACGAGGTAAATGATGCCCAGACCTTTTATTTTTAAGTGAAGTTTCCCTTTAGGTACTTATAGAAAGAACTGGAATCTACAGAAATTAATTTCAATTAGTAGCGATTGAGATCATGTTAAATGATACAGCTTTTCTTTTTTATAGGAAATGGTGCCACCTACAGTAAATTGACCAAATGTAGTGAAAGAAACAGCGTTTGGTCATCAAGATATGATCCGATCTTATCCGATATCTCTCTCAGCTCTACAGATTTGAACGTGTCAGCCAGGGAAACTCCTAGGAGATAAACACAAAGTCTCATATTAAAGACAACAAAAGTTCTGTTTACACATGAATAAACTCCATTGAAGTCGATCCTGTTTATCTCAAAATGCTTTTGTAACACTAGAAAGTTTCCATTCATCGTTGGGGAAGCCCTTTGAGTGTCAGTGTGACATTCTCAGAGAGTTTCAGTGTTCCAGGCCGCTATGACACTCAATCCTTCAATATGTCTGCATGCTGTTGCCAGGATACACCCGGCACAACAAAGAGGGTCACAACTTTCAATAATGGGGGTCTCATAACTTTCAAGAATAGAAAGGTCAGTTATGTTCAATGTGTGTGAGAGGGGGAGTGGGATAAAAAAAAAAAACAGTTTGAGTGTTGAAATTTACGGTTACACAGGCCTTGTGATTTTATGAACGCTTTTTCCAATAACTTAAAATGTAGGTGTTTTTTTCCCCCCTCTATGAGCCCCATATTCACCTATATACGTAATACTATATGATCCATAAACACGTGATTTATCAAATATGATACTGAACAAAAAACACATGCACATTTTTTTTTTAGATTTTATTTTTATATTTTGTCTAAAGGTTTAATAAACATATTAGTCAGAGAGTTTCAGTGTTCCAGGCCGCTATGACACTCAATCCTTCAATATGTCTGCATGCTGTTGCCAGGATACACCCGGCACAACAAAGAGGGTCACAACTTTCAATAATGGGGGTCTCATAACTTTCAAGAATAGAAAGGTCAGTTATGTTCAATGTGTGTGAGAGGGGGAGTGGGATAAAAAATAAAATTTGTTGAAATTTACGGTTACACAGGCCTTGTGATTTTATGAACGCTTTTTCCAATAACTTAAAATGTAGGTGTTTTTTTCCCCTTCTATGAGCCCTATATTCACCTATATACGTAATACTATATGATCCATAAACACGTGATTTATCAAATATGATACTGAACAAAAAACACATGCACATTTTTTTTTTATATTTTGTCTAAAGGTTTAATAAACATATTAAATTTATCGTACTATTATTGCGTATGACTCTCAAAGTTGCCTACGGCGGTGGAGCGAGGAACGAAGGGACGAGGGAATAACAATTATAACAGTCTTTAATAATCCAAAGGAACCAGGAACAAACACGTAGCAACGGGGAGTTGACATTTAAGACTCGACAAAGAAACATGGGGCAGACTACACTTTAAATACAAAACTTAACGAAGGATTAAATGAGACACACCTGAATCAAATGGGACACAATAGGAACAGGAACTACCAAATTAGGGCATGAAACACGGGAAAACTGGGTCAAGGGGAGCACAAACACACTCAGACAGTCCAGGGGCGTGACAATGACAGGCTTTACAGGGTTAATTAAACAACTATACAGGAAACGCTTAATTTTATTCAGTGGCCCAAACAGAACAAAAATATACATTTTGGAGCAGTTGCTGATAATTACACTGCCCAAAAATAAGCTGAAATTCTGAAAGCTTGTAAATCATTGAGATCATTATAACAGTATAGCAGACTACTTATATAAAATAGATACAAATATCAGTTTTCACTCTATATTTCCCAATAATTTGTTGTAGTAAGATGATATTGAATGGCTTAGTTTTACGATCAAAGGTCTGTGGTTTTTATTGTGGGGGGCAAAATTGTAACACTTAAGTATAGGGACCAATTCTATTAACTAGTTGCTTATTAGCATGCCTATTATTAACATATTGACTGTTTATTAGTACTTATAAAGCACATATTCTGCATGACCATATTCCACATCTCTAATCCCACCCAATGTCTAAACTTAACAACTACCTTACTTACTATTAATAAGCAGCAAATTAGGAGTTTATTGAGGCAAAAGCCATAGTTAATGGTTTGCTAATAGCAAGAATTGGACCTTAAAATAAAGTGTGACTGGCAAAACATATAATGCAGTGCAATACAATGATGACTAAGAGATGTACAAATAAACGTAAGACCTTTGTTCACCTTTGGACTATCCCTTTAAAAGCCTGATGCATCATATTTGATACTACATTTTAACATGATTTTTTTCTAAAAAATAAAATGATGTATGGATGATCAAGTAAACCTAAGTTCCTTGATTCAGCCCAGTAAGTGGTAAGTTTTCATCTTGAAATATTATCACAATATACTGTAAAAGTTATTCTTATATTGACTTCATAAAAATCAGTAAAGATTTCACAGCAAATAAACACATGACCCACAACCTGAAGGGGGATGGTTGAAATTTTATTTGCTTATAAAGTATATACTATCAATCAGGAGATAGTATGCATGTAGTAGATTGCTTACAACGGGTTTTTCAGCAATACAACAGTTTTTTTTATCATGCTGACAATTTAGAGGCCTTGGTTGCATATCAAATATGATTCAGTAGGCTTTATAGGATTAAAATGAGAATATACAACTAAGTAGTGTTTTATCTAAATTGCTGATTAAACTATAATGTAAGGCCTTATAAAGTATATACTATCAATCAGGAGATAGTATGCATGTAGTAGATTGCTTACAACGGGTTTTTCAGCAATACAACAGTTTTTTTATCATGCTGACAATTTAGAGGCCTTGGTTGCATATCAAATATGATTCAGTAGGCTTTATAGGATTAAAATGAGAATATACAACTAAGTAGTGTTTTATCTAAATTGCTGATTAAACTATAATGTAAGGCTGTGTGTGTGTGTGTGTGTGTGTGAAGTACCTGTTGTTTGCGGTCTGAGGCTGGGTCTATAAGTACGTTGAGGAGGCTGGGCATTTGTGTGTTGTTCAGACTCTCCTGTAGAGAACTGCGGAGTTCCTCCACTGTTCGGACCAGATACCCACGACCCCCAAACGCACTCATCACCTGCTCGTACCGTGCCTCTGGTAGCAGCGTAACCGGAGGAGCACTAAAACACACACAGTTAAGTCTTATGTAAGATTTGATACTTGATGGGTTCGATAGATATTAACCTTACTGACAGCAATTTTGTCTCATTGCATTTTCAGTTAAACCCAATCTTTCAACATGGAGCAATTTGTTGTATTACCTTCATTCCATCTTAGTCCAAGATAAATCGTAGATAAGTAGTGTCACACACAAAATTATAAAATAAATTATAAAATTATAAAATAATATTAATCCAAGTATTAAGTGTTAAACTTGGATAAATATGTATAGCATGTTTTAATATGCTGGTAAGAAAACTAACAATACCATCTACTGTACTGTCAAAAAGGAGAAGTACATCCCGTCTGATCAGAAGAGTAGATAAAACATATCTCAGAAATGAAAAATTAACAACTAGAAGAGAGATTAAAAGCAGAAGAAGGGAAATTCCGGTAGCACTTTATTTTAAGTATATAGTATGTACATGAGTAACAGGACTGTATAGTAATAACAATAACTAGAAAACAACCCTGAACCTACCCCTAAACCTAACCCTACCCTATGTAGTTATCTTATATTACCATAACTTTCTTCGGTAGGTACGCTGTAAGTACATGTAAGTTCACATACTGTAAAATAAAGTGCAACCGAAATTCCTGCATGAGCTTTAACTAGGGATGCACAATATATCATAACAATATTAGTTATTGATCGGTTATTGATTTTTTGTTTTTATTATTGACCATTTTTTATATTTCCACTTTTAAACCTTTTAAAACTGAGATGTCCAAACCGGGGATTGTGGGACAAAGCTGAGCCCTGATGACCTTTGATTTGGCCTGCCTTGACACATCACATGAGGGAGGAAAATAGACCCTCATTTAAGTATTTTTGGCCATAGCAGTAAAAATTTTGGGCACCCAGAATGTCACCAAGACCTTTCCTTTAATGCTCTAGACTCACATGGTGGTCATGTCTCCCATCTTTTCCATCTCTTTCCATGTCTTTGGATCCACTCCACTGTAGATGCCATTGTTGTTGATTACTATGATGATGATTGGCAGTTTATACCTATTCAGAATTAGAGAAAAAAATAAGTGCAGTGTGTTTATAGTGGCAGAGCAAACAGAATCATTTTATTATGCTGCACACTGCATAAATGCCCTATAGGTGGAGCTGTAAGTGGATGTTTCATTCACCTGCACATGGTCTCCACCTCCATTCCAGAGAAACCGAAGGCGCTGTCTCCCTCTATACACACCACTCTCTGAGCGCTCTTCTGCGTCTGCTCCAAAACTCCTGCTGCAATGGCAAATCCTGGACCCACTCCCATAGTGCCAAAAGTACCAGCATCTAACCTGTATAGGACATCCAGGTTACTGCTCTGGACATCACACAGGTAGAATTCAACTTTAACAGAATTTTCTAGTCTTAGTATCTGAGCTATGGTACTGTACATTATTTAAATTTCCTTACCAGAAAAAGAATCTTAAAGAAAACAATATGTTGTATGGCTAAAATGAAATGTGAGTTCTCTCTTGCTTTTCCTGTGATCCAAACATAAACGTTGATTGCTCATTATCTAAACATAAGGTTGTTTTTGTGATCTAAACAATAAAATGTGTTTTTTGTGATCAAAACATAAGTGTTTTTCTTGTGATCTAAACATAACATTTGTTTTCTCATGATCTAAACATAAGTTGTTTTTTGCAATCTAGACATAACAAAAGTTGTTGTTTTTTTGTGATCAAAACATAGCAGTTTTTTTTGGGGGTTCTAAACCTAACATTTTGTTTGTCAAGGTCTAAACATAACATAAGTTTTCTTCTCATGATCTAAACATAACAAAAGTGGTTTTCTTGTGGAGTACATACAACAAAGGCTGTTTTCTCTTACTATAAACATAATATTTCCTTGTAACCACAACATAAATAACAGTTTTTTCATGACTTTCTCTCAGCATAAAAAAACTGACGCTCTTCATTTCACTCATCAGCCACAAACCATTTCTGTATTTGAAATGTCACATCAGAGCGGCCTTAAAATTTGCCATTGTCATGACAATCAGCACATATCGTTTTTTTTTCTGTTGTATGTTTATTTGTGTTTATAAATAATATAAAAACTATTTAATTCAAGAAGAATAATTCATGTTTCTATCGGAACTAATTCAAGGTCTGGATCTGGACCACTAATTGGTGTTCTTTGATTATAGGGATAAAAACTGTAGTCATTCAAATACAGAGAGCTTCGTCTCTTGTCCAGCTGTGAAAAGTGGGGGAGGAAAATGTCTCTCACCTGTGTCGTGGGAGGTCATTGAGCAGCATGGTGCGGCCGATGTCCATAGTATTCGCTCCCTCGCTTACTATGATGCAGTCTTTGGGCAGGAGCTCAGAAATGTGGTGGAACGCTGTGTAATAGTTCATGGGCAGAGTGGACCGGAGAGCAAGACTCTGTGGGAAACAATAATAATGGTTCACTTTATACCATAATCGTTAAACACACAGTTCACATGTTAACATGAAAACAACCAATGCTATTTCATTACATCAAGTTCAATTACATCAAGTAGTTCATTACATGCTAATAACACACAAGCTCACCTTTGATATCTGAGCATTGGCAGTCATTTTCTCTTTCAGTGTCAACCACCATTGTGAATCAGAAGGAAATCTCCAGGATCTTACAGTTTCCAACAGCTTCAAACAGTGCAGGAAAAGAGATATAAGGGGTCATTTCATGTAAAACATGATTTTCCATAACTTACACTATTGATATTAAACTGTAAAAATCAGCACATTAAAGGGATAGTTCACTCAAGAATGAAAATTCTATCACCCCTACTTTGTTTCAAAACTTTATGAAACTCTTAGTTGTTGAACACAAATTAAGGTATTTTGAAGAAGCCAGTTGAAAATCGATACAGATATGTGACGATTCACAACGAGTTGTTAAACTAATCGCGATACAATTGGGGGTAGGTGTTTATATGAATGTATCTCTGAGAGGAACCGACTGTCTTTAGAAAAGTTAAGATGGTATTTTCTTTTCATCTCTCCTCCGTATAATGCAGTATAATAAAATAGTGTTCATAAGCGCACTCTGTTTGTTTACAGCGGCAACCAAGGAAACGTTCTATGGCTGCTGATCCATAAGCGCCACCTGCTGTCAGAGAGTGAATTTGCGTTCTTATTCATCCCTTCTGCTGTTTTTGTTTCATGCAGATGTTTTATGTAGTATAGTTTCACAAAACTAAAGTCAGACCATTCTGTTTTTGCTTCAAATTTCAAAATGATACAATTTAATTTAGATTAAAAACTGCTCATGCTGCATGTATGCAGCATCTTTGTTTGGATCATGATTAAAAGTGGTTGCCACTCATTTTAAATGTAAAGAGCACAGGCAAAACCTTAGTTTGTTTATATGAGGAGATTTGTATTATTATTGATTTGATTTGGGGTTTGTTTTAAAATTTCTATTTAGTTTTGTTATTTGACATTTCAATTTCACAAAGAAATGTGCAGCATTTTGTCCAAGTAATAATAAAAGGACACCTTTTCATTTATAATGTCTTAAATCTCATTTTGTAAAAAAAAAAATGAATCGTATGAAAATTGTATTGTGAAATCAGTATCACGAATCGCATTGTGAGTTGAATAAATCGTTACATCCCTATTCCATACATAGTATGAAAAAATAAAATACTATGAAGGTCAAAGACTACCATCAAATGTCCAGTTACTAACATAGCTTCTTTTGTGTTCAGAAGAAGAAAGAAATTCATACAGGTTTAGAACAAGTGGAGTGTGAGTAAATGATGGCAGAATTTTAATTTTTGGGTGAACTATCCCTTTAAGATATGACTGACCAGTTATACTTATTAACACTCAGATTCAGTATTCTCTAATATGGTCGGAGGTTAAGAGGTTAGCCAAACAAAACAGGTCATTAACATAGAAAACCCTTAAAGGTACAGAAAAATTTAGGGTAAATTATACATTTTGACATTATAAGAGCAACTATAAGGGAATCAATGCTACAAAACATACTGGATTTCAATAGGACATCAGGAGTCTCTCACAGACCCCATAGAACATACAGAATGCCATGATGCAGATGCAGAAAAAGTGTGTAAAACTAAAAACATTGCATTTTATGTAAGAGGATATACTGCAGTTTACCTGTCTGACCACAGCTCCTATGTCTCCAAGTAGAGCAGATGCGGCTCTCACATTATTACTCAACTCTTCAGCACACAGATCCACCTAAACAAATTCACACGAGAGTCCACACTGAAGATCATTTATGGCATGTCTTTATGGCAAAGTTGCAGAAACATACTGAGTGTCAACAGGGTGTAACTAACCTGAATGATCTTCACATGGGGACTGAATCTAGGTGGAAAACCAAAGTGCAGGATCCAGTTGAGTCTGGCACCCAGCAACACTATAACATCAGCCTGCAGTAAAGCTCTAGAAAAGAGAGAGACGGGCATCACACCAGTCCATCAAAAGGAGAATATTTTGGAAAGATCATTTTGATACATATGCACACCTGGACCTGGCCGCAGCAACACAGTTAGGGTGGTCATCTGGCAGTACTCCTTTCCCCATAGGTGTGGGAAGGAAAGGGATCCCAGTCACCTCCACCAGCTCCCTGACCTCCTTCTCTGCCCTGGCATACGCCGCACCTGCAGCAGATCACAGTTCAACATTGCTTTGATCAGTTTCAGCTGTGAAGATATCATCACTCTTGGTCATTCAGTTCTATTCTGTTCACCTTTGCCGATGATGATCAGAGGCCTCTGAGCCGCTCTGAGCAGCCTGACAGCCTGTGTGATCTCCCTGCTGTCAGCCTGACTCACAGGAGCAGGAGGACAGCAGGAAACAAACCTAGAGAAAAATGAAGACGCATGCAATACCATTTTGCACATTTCAGTACGCAAAAGAAAACAATGATCAATAAGTGATCACATCACAACATACAGTTGGTTAGGAAGCTCCCCGTTGCTCTGATTAGTGTTTAACTGAACATAAAGCTCACCTGACATTGGCCCGGTCTATTTTGGCGTTCACCATGTCTCCAGCTATGTCTATGTAGGATGCTCCTGGACGGCCATAAATGCTGCTCCTTACAGCCTAACAAAAGCACAAACATTCCAACTAAAATATAAGGGGGAAGAATCTAATTTAAAGGATTAACAAAAACTTGAATAGTATCTTAATGTTACATAAATTACATTGCATAGTACATAGTATATTTGGCCAACAGTTGAAAAACATCCTTTTTTAAGACAAGACAAGATTTTTCAAACAAATCAGTGTTATTTCTGTATTATTTATTTACTATATTATTATTATTATATTTCGAATTAGCTTCTATTTTTACATTTTCAGTTTTAATTTAAATTATAGTTCAAGTTTAATACTTTTTTCGTTTTTATTAGTTTTATTTCATCTTTATTTAATCTTATTACTATATGTATAAAACTATTTCTATTTAGATTTAATTTATTTTATTTTAAAGTTTTTTTTCATTTAAGCTATTCATCTAATACTTATATATTTATCTTCATTTATCTTATTTTATTTAATATTTATGATTTATTTTATTTCAGCTTTATTTCAATATTGAATGTATTTTTTTCAGTTAACAAAAACAACAGTGAAAATTTTTTTTTTTTGTCTCTGAACATAACTAACATATCACAGACCTCGGCTTTACTTAACATGACAGTATGGCCAAATGGCTAAATTTGTACATCTCTTTAAACAAGATGAGTCCTCTATATTTCTTCCTGTAAGAGAAAAAAATTAAATTTAAATTTCTAAAAATTTACATTTTTAATATCTGATAAAAGTTTAGCATTTTTGTCAACTGACAGACATGGCCTATGAACCACTTAACTTAAATGTTGATTAAATATTTACTTTTTCAACTACAGCTGGTATCATCTCAAGGCTGCTTGGTCGAGCAGAAAACTTGCTATACAGACGACAAGCTTCAACCTGGTGAGGAACAAGAAAGAGAAACAAGAGGTGGTGTTTTCTTTCCTTGAATTACTGAAAATACATTTTTGAGTCTGAATTTTGAATCTGTTGCTCAAGGGATCAATTTCATACCGCAATAACAAACTGTTTTTCTATCAAAGCCAAACATTTCCTATCAACCCTACCTGAGGAAACTCCTGAAACGCTCCTGTGGTTTCTTGGTTCCTATCAGATGAGCCGCCAATAACAATGACAGGCCTATGAATTCAAACAAGAGAAGAAAAGTACAAAAACTGCCCATCAATTCGCTTTAATCTTAAGTGAACTCAGCAGTGTAGAGCTACCAGCAGTTCATGTTAGCATTGGCCATTCCTCCAAGCGCATGAATCAGCCCAGGTCCAGACACAACTAGGCACACAGCTGGCCTGGAAAATTAAATGTAACCATCACAAAAAGAGCACAAAAAAGTAATACTGAGAAACAAACTGACATATTCATACCATCCTGTCAAATACCCAATAGCAGATGCAGCATAGCAGGCCTGTTAGGAGAAAGAAAACGCACCCAGACAGTCTTCAGTGTAATGAAACAGGAATATATTTTAAATAAAAGTGAAAAGTGAGACTGTCTTACTGCTTGTTCATTACGCATGCCAACATACTTGATGCCCGCTGCTTGGGCAGCCATGGCCACTTCGATGATAGGCACGCCAACAATGCCAAACATGTACTCCACATTCTGCACATGGAGTTGAATAGAAGTAAAGACATACCTAATAGACATACTAATATGTTGAATATTAATTTATTAAAAGTTGTTTCTGGCAATCTAAGGCACAATAAAAGAAGCAGTACACACATAGGTCAGGGGTTTTCAAACCATTCATTCATTCATTCATTCATTCATTCATGTATAGGCTATATGTGTCTTCATTTATTTAACAAGTAGTTGCCATTTACAGCTGCTTATAATTAAGTACTGTCTGCTATTGGTATTGATTTTGTAATTATTATTATTATTATTACATTTATTTTTAATTAACATGTCACATGGACAATGTGACACTAAATACTGATTATTTGCTTAGTGTTTAATTAAAAAAATTTTTTTTTTATTAACATTCAATATTTGCTAGATACTCATACATTATCATAAATCCATTATTCTTCCTTTACAGCTTTATGTTTGAAAAGATCTGGGTAATATCACCATCTTTAATGGCATCCCACACGCCCCATCATTGAAAGTGGCAGGATCCTCCAGTATTTTATATTGCTTTTCCAGATTTTCTAACATAGGTAAAAAGTTAAGTTTATATACAGTATATCCTTAGGGTCTCTAGATATATTAACTCCAAGGTATTTCAAACTATTTGTGGCTATTTTAAAAGGAAGACTAAGCATACAATTTGAGTCAATATTGTTAGTGACCGCCAAAAATGCACTTTTTTGCCAGTTTACTGAATAACCTGAGAGTTTACCGAATGTTTCCAATAAATTTAGCAAGGGTAGTACAGACTGTTCTGGGTTGCGAAGATATCGAATAATGTCGTCTGCATAGAGAGAAATATGACGATCGATTCTGCCTAAATTTGGGAGCAATATTAAAGTGTTCTTTTTAATGGCAAGGGTAAGCGGTTCAACTGCAATTGCAAAAAGCAAGGTCAAGAGAGGACAGCACTGCCGGGTGCCTCTATGTAATAAAAATTGGGTCCCACTTTATATTTAAGTGGCCTTAATACCTGTTTACTTACATAGTAACTAGATGTGTACGTAGTATGTAACCACAGTGTAAGTACACATTGGTACATAGTATCTAGAGCGGTAATATTTCTGTAACTACACACATGTAACAACCCTCTGAATGGTTTGTGCACTTCTGACCAGAATTCACCAAGTTTAGGGCATGCCCAGAAAAGATGACCAAGAGAACCCTCCGCAGATTCACACTTATTGCAGAGAGAGGAAATAGTAGGAAAGAAAGCATTAAGTTTAACCCTTGAGTAATGCAATCTATATGCAACACCTTGTACTGAATAAGTTGATGCCTGGCGTTAATAGAACAGGTGTATATATTTTTAAGACGTTTTGCCCAGTCTTCCTCAGAAACATGAATATCCAGTTCCTTTTCCCAATCATTTTTCAGAGATGTCTAACTGACTAGTGAAAAAAATCTACTAATTTTGTGACTAACTTATTGGGTATTGGGAATGCAAGTATAAGTAGTTTATGCAATTCATTATCAGCTGAAAGTGTTTCAAAGTTTGGCATAGTGGAATGAATATAATTTCTAGTTTGTAGGTATCTAAAGAAATGTGAAGCAGGAAGGTCATATTTCTCTTTTAGTTGAGAAAATGTTGCAAAATTGTTGTCTATATAAATCTCTCAAGGTGAGGATTCCTTTTCTAGCCCAACCTATGAACACTGGGTCTAGTAGTGAGGGCTTAAAGGCAAGGTTATGACAGACAGGAGCAAAAAAGGAGGTACTTGGCAGTTTGAATGTCTTACTGATCTGACGCCATATCCTGAGGGAGTTATTGTTCATAAAGTGAGATCTTACTGCAGCTTTAGATTTCTCTGGGGCAGCAAATAGTAATGAGGAGAGAGATGTATTTGAAGCACCCCGCTCAATCATAAGCCATGAAGGGAGATCAGCTGAAAGACTATCAGGGCATGGGTCTTGCCAAAAGGTTAAGGCTCTATAATTGGCAGCCCAATAATAGTGTTGAAAATTTGGCAAACCCAACCCCCCCAATAACCTAGGCTTACAAACATGCAGTTTAGATATTCTATGTGCTTTAAAGCCCCAGATGAACACCAGTACAATAGAATCTAAAGTTTTGAAGAACTTTTTGGGCAAATAACTTGGTAAATTCTGAAAAAGATACAAGAATCTGGGTAATATCACCATCTTTAATGGCATCCCACACGCCCCATCATTGAAAGTGGCAGGATCCTCCAGTATTTTATATTGCTTTTCCAGATTTTCTAACATAGGTAAAAAGTTAAGTTTATATACAGTATATCCTTAGGGTCTCTAGATATATTAACTCCAAGGTATTTCAAACTATTTGTGGCTATTTTAAAAGGAAGACTAAGCATACAATTTGAGTCAATATTGTTAGTGACCGCCAAAAATGCACTTTTTTGCCAGTTTACTGAACAACCTGAGAGTTTACCGAATGTTTCCAATAAATTTAGCAAGGATAGTACAGACTGTTCTGGGTTGCGAAGATATCGAATAATGTCGTCTGCATAGAGAGAAATATGACGATCGATTCTGCCTAAATTTGGGAGCAATATTAAAGTGTTCTTTTTAATGGCAAGGGTAAGCGGTTCAACTGCAATTGCAAAAAGCAAGGTCAAGAGAGGACAGCCCTGCCGGGTGCCTCTATGTAATAAAAATTGGGTCCCACTTTATATTTAAGTGGCCTTAATACCCGTTTACTTACATAGTAACTAGATGTGTACGTAGTATGTAACCACAGTGTAAGTACACATTGGTACATAGTATCTAGAGCGGTAATATTTCTGTAACTACACACATGTAACAACCCTCTGAATGGTTTGTGCAAGTACAAATATGTAACAGGACATATATAACTACATTTTGTAACAACAATATGTATAAGAGAACAGTTTGATCCAGGGGATGGGTAGGTTTAGGGGTGAAAATGGGATTTAGGGAGTGGAGATGGGTAGGTTTAGGGAGGAACTGTAAAGTGGGAGGAATTGGATCTTGAGTTGGTGCACCACCAGTGTACTTACATGGTAACTCCTCAGGAACTGTCCACTTACTATAAAATGTAACATTCTGGACACCAACATTTACATTTATATGTAAAGCCTAACTTACTGGCCGCTGCTGTGTAACATCAGAGTAATTACATGATCAATCTAATATTAAGTGTAACACCTTCTTTACCAAAAAGTGCTGTTAGTCCTGTTACACATTTGTACTTTCATTACCAAAAAGTGCTGTTACCAATGTCCTGTTACTCATCTGTACTTACACATACCATTCAGAGGGTTGTTACATATGTGTAGTTACACAAACATTACAGCTGTAGATGCTATTTACCAATGTGTACTTACACTGTGGTTACATACTATGTACACTTCTAGTTACTATGTAAGTACACAGGTATTAGGGCCACTTAATATAAATTGAGATGATCTATAGACGAAGCTCTAGGTTGTGTAGTCCCCAGTCTTAGGATGAGTCCCATTAAATTTGGTCAAACGCCTTTTCTGCGTCCAAGGCAAGAACTACAATACTGGTTTGAGACTCAAACCTGGTATATAAGATATCCATTAGTTGCCTGACATTAAAAAAAGAGAAATGGCCAGGAATGAATCCTGACTGGTCATGATGAACAATTTCCCCAATACAATTATTTAGTCTGTTAGCAAGGAACCTAGTGAAGATTTTAAGATTGGGGTTCAAATGAGATGAAAAGGCCAGGCGCCTTTCCAACAGGGAAAGATTTAATAGCATCTAGTATTTCTGCTATTGTTGTCTGCATTCAAAGCTGCCTGCTCTGCGCACCCCAACTTTGGAAGGTGTAATGAATGAAGAAATTATAGCTAATGCTGAGGTGTCCGAGAAGCCCTTTGATTTGTATAATTCTTCATAAAATTCTTTAAATGTATCATTGATTTCAGTGGGATTTGTTAAAACGACACCCTCCTTGTTTTTGATTTTATGGATTGTCAATCATTTATTTTAAGACCTTAAAGAAGGGACCCTATATCGCAAGCTTTCTGGTATTGTCTGCTTCTTTGACGGGTTACTTTTTGTTAGTATAAATTAAGGATGGAATGTAAGTAGAAAAGAGCAGACTTTAAATATTTGACCAGACGAAATTCACAAAGAACCATTCTTATATTTATTTAGTAAACAAATAAACAACTACAAAGAGGAATTATACTTTTGAAATAACCAATGCATGTCTTATTACTTACGTATAGACACAATATCTATGGCATGTTTAGCTTTTAGCAACTCGTTTTTAACTTTGTAAAACATGTATAACAGAAAACATTATATTAGAGAAATATATCAAGAAAAACTGAAATTTGTCGAGTGTTTCAATTTGACTATACTACACATCATTACAAACATAATGACTTGCACATTTCTCAAGCTATTAGATCTAACAGCCGATTTACATGTTAGACATTGTCCAACTAAAAATGATATCTTCAACTAAACATCATAAATGTCATTGTGAAGAAAGAGGTCATACTTGTCATAACCAGTATTTTCTACATTGTTGTTTTTGTTCTCCTTCACATTCGTTTTCCTGTTCATCGCTTGAGCTTCACTCTCTCTGCCTTCAAGATAGGACTGCAGGATCCGGAAAAACTGTGAAAATATCGGACAGATAAATGACGACATGAATTTAAAATACAGTGTTATTTAAATATTTGCATTATAAGAACAAAAGAATAAATGAAGCTTACAAATACACAGTGTCTGACTAAATAATACACGTTAGTCCATAAATATCAATTTTAGATTCTGCCTCTGAATTCTGGTTATAAAAAGTCTTAATTAAATGTAATCTTAGTCTTCATCCTTTTGTGTCACATTGGGACTTTTATCACAAAAAACGTTTTTGAGACTCCAACCAGTGTACTTACATGGTAACTCCTCAGGAACTGTCCACTTACTATAAAATGTAACATTCTGGACACCAACATTTACATTTATATGTAAAGCCTAACTTACTGGCCGCTGCTGTGTAACATCAGAGTAATTACATGATCAATCTAATATTAAGTGTAACACCTTCTTTACCAAAAAGTGCTGTTAGTCCTGTTACACATTTGTACTTTCATTACCAAAAAGTGCTGTTACCAATGTCCTGTTACTCATCTGTACTTACACATACCATTCAGAGGGTTGTTACATATGTGTAGTTACACAAACATTACAGCTGTAGATGCTATTTACCAATGTGTACTTACACTGTGGTTACATACTATGTACACTTCTAGTTACTATGTAAGTACACAGGTATTAGGGCCACTTAATATAAATTGAGATGATCTATAGACGAAGCTCTAGGTTGTGTAGTCCCCAGTCTTAGGATGAGTCCCATTAAATTTGGTCAAACGCCTTTTCTGCGTCCAAGGCAAGAACTACAATACTGGTTTGAGACTCAAACCTGGTATATAAGATATCCATTAGTTGCCTGACATCTTCATCCTTTTGTGTCACATTGGGACTTTTATCACAAAAAACGTTTTTGAGACTCCAAAAACATTTTAAGGCAAGACACCTCAGGTGTATATGGCAAAAAAAAACTGAACAAAAAGATATTTGTACTTCTTTAGTTGATTGATTACATAACGAATTTCAAACATTTTTTGTATTACACATTAACTGAAGTGTTATGTTTTTGCATTATCTAATTAAATGTGCTCTAATTTGCTTACATTTCCAGAAGAGAGATCTGAACACAGGATAAAGCCAGGTTCAAAAAGCTTTTTTTTTTACATATTAGAGCTAAATGTTTTTATAAAGGGTATTTTGCGTATCTCTTTTTATCACTCCATAAATCAGAAAATATTTTTTGCCATGTTTTTAAGAATAAACTGTTGCACAAACTCAAATGAACAAAACCTTCTATGTAGTGGAGATTTATGGCTCGGTGTAGGAAAAAAAATAATCATTTTGAGTAAACGGCCTTTAACGATACATATTTTCATTTAAATCTACAGATGCAAAAAGATAAAGTGCAATGAAATAAACACCTTAATAAATAGTATTCTGGATGTTTTCTTTCCAATAGTCTGAAACAACACATTAAGATAAAAAAAAAAAGCTAAATAGCCCAATATTGCAAAAATAGCCAGTGGAGGGGGAACAAATTCCTAATATAAATCAAAGTCTTAATAAAAATCATCAAGAAGGATCAATTGCTGTCTGACTCACCAGGGTCCTGCTCTGTGGGTTACTCAGAGACTTCCACTCTTCATTTGAGAGGTCCGACTCAACCGAGACCATCAGCAGCGTCATCAGAGCCAATACTGTCAACCTGGATGCCAAACACAAACACAGAGACATTACAGAGTCTTCCTCAGACCACCACAACATCTTCACCTGACCGAAAGAACTTACATGTTTGCAGTGGCTGTGATTGCCAGGTCAGTTTGCAGTTAGGTTGCCTCGGTTTCCCAAAAGCTTTCTGCCCCTGCTTTTATACACAGCATAAGAGGCATGCCATGCATGAACAATTAGCACCTTCTGGCAAATTGGCATTTCCTTTTTTCTCAAAGAAAATCTGGACAGACACTGAGTGCCATAATTGATATAATTAACCTTATTGCGTCATCATGGCTCCCTTAGAGACATATAACTCAGAATAGCCTCTTATAATGATGGTGGTATTTATGGACTAACCTTTAAAGGGGCATGATGAATGTAAAAGACTACCGGACATATAAGTGAAATACAGGTATCGAAATTGTAGGAAATATTTTAATGAATATGGTCAAGGACGAATGTTGACAACCAATTATTATTTTGCACTAACAACCAGTAGTTTGAAAGCTCAAAGGGAGAATTTTTTTATTGCATATCCCACAGAACGATAAAAAATAAAAACAGCATGAGCACTACTGCTTCTGAACTTAGTTCTGAGACATTTGATACTTTTTTTTGTTTTAAATTCTGCTGCCGTTTCTTATTGCTGTGTGTGGGTTCTGCTTGTCTATGGGTCTTTGTATTTACAGGATAATTTAGCACAGGGGTCTCCAAATTGTTTCCATTCGAGAGCTTTTTAAAAATGAAAGTGGCTGAGAGCTACCCTTAAATCTCTTATATAATGTATCAATCCAAACTGTTATACATGGTAAAGCCTAATAGGCTACGTGTTAAAATGTGCTGGACATGTTCAAAAAGTACTGATACACACAGTGAAATCATTTCAGAAACAAAAGTAGCAACACTATGCACTTTTTGGGTGCACAAACATTGAAATAAAATCATTAAAAACAATGGCCGGATTTTAAACTAACAAAAAGTATTAACATAACATGTTATCTACTGACAGGTACTAGACCTACATCTTCAAATAAAGTTTTGACAAAAAAAAAAAAGATATACCCACTGATCTAGGCTATATATAACTCTATTATAGATCAGTGGATACAACATTTTGTTTCGACTTTTTTCTCGCAATTTAACAACTTTAATCTCAAGATTTTATTTTTATTTGTATTATTATTGCATGGCCCTAATCCTCTTCCATTCAATTCAGTCACTTTGCAGTCTTGCAAGTTTGGTCTACTTTCTAGCTGCCATTTTTGTCATTGTTGGTCTCTGACAGAAAGGGAGATTCAACCCGGTCATAAATAATAAATAATATGAATTTTTAAAAAATTATTTTTAATGAAATGTACTGGGTTAAATATGTTTAACACAATAATATGGCTTAATTATACTTTCTAAAGATTTTCCAAAAAACAGATTAACTGAATCGACAGCCCTCTTTTTAGTCTACATAAGACTTGTTCTTAAAATAGAAGAATTTTTAAGAATTTGATTTAGATAAATGTTATTTGGATTTAACTATAGATGACAATAGTATTACTAAATTGCATTCCTTGAACTCTGACCCAGAGAAACAATGGGTTTTTATTCAGGGTTAATCAATATTACTTAAATCTTGACTGAAGAATTATAATTACTTTCAGAGTCTAAATGTAATTGGTTTATTCCAAACAGAGTAGCATGCCCCATAAGTGTATTGAAACTATAACGCTTTAATTTCACACTTAAATAAAAATGTTTAGCACTAATCGTTGCAGGAGAACAGCTCTCACTGAAAGTACATTTAAACTGAGATGAACTCTGAACTCTTCTGCACTCTGTCCAGCTAGAAAACAAAAAGACAGCATGTGTTGAACCTTCATGAACCCTTAGAAATTACAGACAATTTTAGAACACATTCAAATGTCATTACAAATACTGGTAGGAGAAATTAAGAAACTCGCGTTTGAATCATCAGTGGCAAATACTTTAAATATAAAAAACATACTTACAGACTGTGAGTCAGAACAGCCGGCATTGTAGTCTACTCTACCAGGATCAGGAAACAGTCCTCCATAAAATGCGCTGCACACATCTGAATATTTGGGTTGAAGTGTTCTGGAACAGTGTTGTAAATACAACTTAACCACTGATTTCTAGTCGTGTCCTCTTTTGGAAGGCCAAACAAAGTAGTTTCGCTTTCACAACGAAAAACACTGCGTCACACACGGCGGGCTTGAGTGAGTGGAGGCCTGCGGGCTAGAGTGAGGAATGGCCGGAGGGCTTGCAGCAACCACATGTGACGACACCGGGCTAGACTCCGCTTCGTCCACGGTGAAAGCCGATCCGGCGATCCACAGCACAAAGTTGATGCATTTTTCTCAGCGACCAGCACGGATCAGCTCTAGGCATGTTGAAGCGATATCGTCCTCTTTTGGAAGGCCAACCAAAGTAGTTTTGCTTTCACAACGAAACAGCGTCTTCACGACATGGCGGCAGCAACAATACTACAGCGAGAATAAAAGTTACGCCTTCTTTCTTTGCGTGAACATTTGGGTGGCGTTATGCAAATCTTCCCACATCGTGACATAGATATGTGGGGGCGTGTTAGAACGAGCCATTTTAAGGTAGATGTGGTTGAATCTTAACTTTCATAAAGAATATCTATTTGGATTTGAGACTTTAGTCTTTGCAACTTTACAGATCTTCTTTATGCACCAAGAGCTTGTAACACTCCAAAGAGAAAGGAAAAATTGAAATCGCATCATATGACCCCTTTAAGATAGGTCTGTACATAATTCCATACTATTTCCAGGATTTCCTCGACCTGTAAATGGTGTTCTTAAAGCTGCAGTCTAGGGTTGGGTATCGTTTGAATTTGATCAATTCCAATTCCGATTCTGCTTATCGATTCCCATTTTCAATTTCAGTGTGGTAAAAAAAAAAATATATATATGAAGTTAAACATTTAGAAATAAAACTTATTTATTAGGTCTTTTTGCAAAACATTGAATTGCTGCCAAACACCATGAACAAAAATCAGCCTCGATTAAAAGCGGAGTGTGCAAAATAGAGCTGCACAATACTGGATAAATTTAGACTTTTTTTTCCCTTTTAAATGAAGGTTGTGGTTCTCTCACAATTCTGAAGAAAAAATATTAGACAAACAAAATCTCATGGAATTTATGAATGGAATGATTCAATGACTCACTCAAGATTTTCTTGTTTCATTACTGGATGAATAAGTGTTTAATTAATAATTTTTTGAAAGAATGATTCAAAGACAAATACATTAACAGCCTCTTTTCACCAATAATAATAATTTTTAAAAAAAGATGCGCACAGGATTTGATTGGCGGAATTGAAACTTTAATTTAACAACTGAAATTGGAATTACCGGTAATTTTCAATTCCCAACCCTACTGCAGTTCGTAACTTTTGGTGCTCTAGCGGTTAATAAACACAACTGCATGCGTCTAGCGGAATAACATTGTAGCCGGAGCTACTTCTCTCTGTTTATGTCTATGACGAATCACGCAGGTACTGGGCTACTCCGCAGCGGTACCTACCCGAACCAGTCTAAAATAGTCAGAATATAAACACTTATTATAGGTGTACCGTAGTGATGGATTCATGATGTACTCGCTTATAACATAAAAAAATAAAAGTTACGGACTGCAGCTTTAAACATTTGATAAGAAAAATAAGATTCGAAGTATTGAACTCATTTATTTATTTAGTCAACCATAAAACATACAGGAATCTCTTGTGAGTAGGGGCAGCAGCGGCCTTCGACCGCACCAATCACTCTCCTTTTTCCCCCAAGAAAAGGACAGGAAAGGAAACAGATCCCAGCTGACCCCCTCTCAGCCGGGAAGCTGTATTGAACAGATTTCCAGTTTCAATCATTCGAAAAATCAAAGCTTGAAAAGAGACAAACACAGGTTTCTGACAGGCCATCACAGAAGGATCGAGTGGTTTGTTTTACTAAATCAAAGTGAGCATACCTGCCCAAAAAAAAGTCATGTTAATAAGAGCCAGAAAAAATATAATATATATTTATATTCATATATCAACATACAAAGAGATCAAATGCTGTTCTACCATTGGTTTACACAGTGTTCCTCATTCTAGAGCAAAGCATGCTGGGAGCCGTTTGCCTCTTCATTTTCAGTGCTTTTCACAGACGTAGTGTTGAACTTCTTGTGCATCGTAGATTTGTTCTCTCAAGCTGCCCCTTCCCTCCATACAGTCATTTATGAAGGCACAAAATGATGATGAAATATGGAAAGTAAAAATAAATACCATCGATAAAAAGAATAATTTATCCTAAAACTGAAGATGGAGACAGTTAGCATTTTAACATCACTCATGCTTGTGGCCAAAAGCATTGCAATGCTGATGTTCATGTCCTCAATTTGCCCTTGCGGTTTTGAAACTACTGAAACTCTGATTTGTTTTATTTCATCCCCCTCAGAGGGACAGAGAAATTGACAAGGTATTAAAATCGCATTTTAAAAAATAAATCATTTCTTTCCAAGTTGTAAATGATCGATTCAGAAGTGCACACTGACTTGAATCCATTGAAAGCATCACAAATATCCCAGTCTTTCACGAGGGAGGATTTGAACGTCCAATCCCAGTTGCACTACGACAGTGTCAAACTGCTTGTGCAAAAGTTGGTCCCAGGCTGCTGATTCTTGTCTTTTATTGCCATGTTGAGAGGTCCGCCCACTTATCCGTCATATTTGTGTAGGGCAAGATGCGCTGGCAGAGGTTGAGCTGATGGATAAGGGGGCTGGGAGGGCCAGCCTGCTGCGCCTCATACATGTTTGTTTGTGTATGTTGTGTGTAGAGACTCTTAAGGCTCTGCGGAGTGGCCGGCCGCTGGGTAATTAAGACAAGATGTGCGCCTCTCCTTTCCTCCTCCTCAGTATGTCTCCGAGTCAGAGTCATTTAGCTCGTCGTCTTTGTAGAAGCCGTCA